GAGAGAAATTAGCATCCACATCTTTCCTCTTAATGTCTCGCTATAAATTAACTTAAGCGTGTGCTATTTAGCTTCTGTAGTTTCACTAAAAGGTATAACATTAACAAAACATGAAATAATTAGAGGTTAAGTTGAAATACACTAAGAATAAAACTAAAATCAGGCGTTAACAGTCTTAGTTAACAGTCTTTAAGCTAGCAAACAAGATTAAAACAAAACATTAACAACCTACCTCGATCTCCTTTATCTTTTTTACCCATTTTAAAAACGTTTAAACGGGAAGAGCGGAAAAGTAATGTCCTACATGTATTTACTTGTTGTTTACAGTGTTAAAATGTCGCAAAGACTGAGTAATTAGAAGCTACATTATTGTGACACAACATGCGAGAGAGCCGAAGCTAGCGCTGGAGTACTTCCGGTCTAAATTTTCAAAATAAAGTCAGGTTTGAGGAAAAGCACATTTTGTTAGCTCCACTGGTTTCTTCTGCCCTGGCCCTCAAGGAACACCATCCTGCATGTTTCCCTGCTCCAACACACCTGATTCAGTGGTTTAATTACTTCCTCAAGTTTAGCAGAATTCTATCACCCATTCATTCATATCAGTAAATGGACTACAATCTGTGTCTTCATTTACCCGTTCTTACAGCACGGTGCTGCTGAGTGGTTAGAGCAGTCGTCCTCCAATGCAAGAGTTGTGGGTTCGAATCCACCAGCAGTCACATGTCGAAGTGTCTCAGGGCAAGACACTGAACCCCTTGATGCCTCCGATGTGTGTCCCATCGGTGTATGAATGTGATAAAGCTCTGATTAGTCTCTGTAGAATGATTTGTTCGATTAGCTTTGTAGAGCTCTAGTAGAGTGCTGTATGAATGAGTAAAGGAGGACACAGATTGTAGTGTAAAGCGCTTTGAGCATCTCGATAAGATAGAAAGGTGTTATATAAGTACAGTCCATTACAGCACTCTACCAAATCTCTACAAAGCTAATTGAACAAATCATTCTAAAGAGACTAATCAGTGCTTTAGATCACATTCATACACTGATGGGACACACATCGGAGGCAATGAGGGATTCAGTGTTTTGCCTGTGACTGTTGGTGGATTCGAACCCCCAACTCTTGCATTGGAGGACGACTGCTCTAACCACAGCCGCCATCAGGTGTGTCAAAGCAGGGAAACAACTAAAACATGCAGGATAGTGTTCCTCAAGATAGAACCACTGCTCTATTGTACAATTATTAGACAGTGCTGCTCATCAATTTCCTTTAAAATAATCACATTTATTTTTGCCCTGATTTAGAGACTTGTTGAGTCCACATTGCCAACATTTTACCTAATCCTGGCTTGTATGGCAGTGACGGTATTTTCTTGAATATCCACAATAAAAGTTTTCACTGTTACGTGTAAACTTATCTATTACATGTTCTTTCCTCGGCAATCCTTTTAGAATCAGAATAAGCTTGATTATCGTTGCACCATGATACAACGAGAACATGTACGTACAATCGTGCGGAAGATGGGCGGAGTGCACGAAGCTGCTACCATAAAAGCGCGGCCTTTCTTACTCTTGTTCAGAATAATATTTTTGCTTAGATGAGAAAAGGGAATAAAAACATGAGGAGAGACGGTATAAAAAAAAAGATCTCTCACACCGTGTCCTAGACAGGGCACGATTTGAGGCATCAAAAAAACCTACCACAGCATATCCTGATGCACAGCAAACCTACCACAGCATAGCACATAAATAGACTTTATACATATAGGCCGGTGAAGACATTGAATTTTAAGGGAAGGTCGTAGCATAGTCCAGAGCCCCCCCTCTCAGCCATTGTCCGGAAAAGAGATGTTATTTATCATCAGCTCGGTTAAGGTTCTGTCACATGTCCACGGCCTTGGGGAAGGAAGGGGAGAGGAGCACCGGGAGACACGTCTGACTTCACCGGAGTACAGAAAGAGAGGGAAAAAAAGGCATAATCTGCTGACATATATAAATAAAAATAATCATTATATAAAGGATTATCTCAGACCAAAAAATTAAAATTCTAGGTATACCTGTGCATTAATCTTCTTTTTTCTTTCAGCTGCTCCCTTGTTCAGGGATCGCCACGGTGAACTAAGTCGCACGAAGACTTAGTGATTGTTTTTACACCGGATGCCCTTCCTGACGCAACCACAGACCACTGAGCTACCACAGCCCTCTGTGTGGAGCAGAACTGCCATCTGGGGTGCCCAGGGTGGCGGATGGTGTGGGTTGGGGGCCTTGCTCGGGGGCCCAGGGTGGGGCAGGTGAGGGCAGGTGTTGGTGTTTCACCTTTCCCACCCACATTTTGAAGTTGTTGGTTTGGGGAGGTGAACCGGCGACCTTCCGATCACAGGCCCACCTTCTCTAGCCTCTGCACCACCACTCCCCTCTCTCCTATATATATACCTGTTCATTAATAATTCAACTGAATTTTCATTTTCCTCCACCCTCTAATAAGGTATCAAATAGAATAGAATAGAATAGAATAGAATAGAATAGAAACAGCCTTTATTGTCCCACGGATGGAAAATTCAAGTGTAACAGCAACAACAGCAGCAACAGATCAAAAGATTTCACACAAAAGTTCCTAAATGTTAATAAACAATACAATATATAAATAAATAAGATAAACAATATCAATAATAATGTTCATTATGCGTTTGAACATTGATAACGACAGACTATTGACAATCCAGTTTTCATTTCAATTTAATTCAATTCAAAAATACTTTATTAATCCCAGAGGGAAATTATTTGTTGTTGTAACTCGTTATCTTCATTTCATTAAGAGATGTTATAGATGCTGATGCTGTAAACAGGAAGGATCTCTTGTAAAGGTCCATCCCACAGTGGATCCTAAGAAACTGGCTGCAGATGCCGTCCGATCCGTCCTCCCAGACTCGGCAGAGTTATATTATAGGCAGAGTGTGTGTTTTAGCAGAGGTCAGCATGTATTTAACACTTATTGAGTGTATATACTGTAATATATTGTCTCAGTCTATTTTATGTTTGTTCAGATATTCTATCAAATTTCCATGTGAATCAAATTAAGTCAACTCTCATTCTTAAGTGTGTAAAAGTGTGATTTTACTGAACAAAATTCTCACCTAGTGCACGTAGATCGTAAACTCCACAACATGCTCAGAATGTGTAAAATTATTTTAGGGGCCAGTATTTATTTCTGTCTTTTTAATGATAATACGGTTCCGGTATTTTAATTTTCTGTAATCATCCAGAGGACACTGCATTGCTAAAGTTTGCTATTTTGTTTTTTACTATGTCAAATAAATATAATCTGAATTTGAATTTTGTCTCCAGTTTCTACGTAAAACAGTTTGTACTTGGTTAGCTTGCATAACGTAATTTATCTTTAAAACCTTCATACATCTCCTACATGTCTCTGCGTGAGTGCAGCTACAGCGTGCGCTCTCAGGACATTATTACCTGCAGTGTCCTCTCAGTGAGAACTGAACTAGGCAAAAGAGCCTTCTCCTACTCCACTCCTGTATCCTGGAATATTTTACAAAAAGATCTTACGCTCTCGATCTTGACCTCCAAGTGGCTTCAAACAGCTGCTTTTTTTTCCCAAAACTTTATTTGCAAATTAACAGTTTACAAAACAAGGTTCATATAAAAAAGGACAAATTATTATACATGTCAATCAAAACATATAAACACAAGGAACTGAACACAGAAAAATAAATAAACAAAATAAATAATGCTAGGGGGGCTTATGGTTCTACAAATACATTCATTGCAATGAATATTGTTAATGCATAGTTTTGTGCATTTTTTTAAATCAGTCTTTAATTATCCAAATATAATTGTAAAAGACATCAAAGCTTGGTTTCCTTCCAGAGTATTTTCTACAATGAATGTGATATTTTGCAGTAATAGTAGAAGGTTTATAAGGTAGTCAGAGTTGTTTTTATACATACGTTTTTTTAAAAAGGCCAACCAACACATGCTAACACAGAAGCGCAAAATGTGCTTCAATTTTATTGTGAATAAAGTAGTTTCTGCCAAAATAAATTAACAAAAGGACGGTGCCGAGAAAGGTGGAGAACAGTTTTCAGGACATCCATCACAAAACCCACAGTTAATGTCAATTTATTTCTTGAATCTAGTTTTGATATAAGACTTAGCGGGATAGATTTTATACATGATTTTGTAGATTTCTTTAATCTTCTTTGTAATCAAATATTTGTTTGGAAGAAGCCAGAACTTTTCCCATGGTATCCCCTCAACAAACCTATTCCAATGTGGAACAGCTGGTTGTGCTGTAATGTTCTTCTGAAATACGGCTCGTATATGTTTGTTATTATTTACAGGATGACCGGAACAACAAATCCAGTTGTTTTTGTATTGAACGTTTTTTGAATTTATCATGTCCTGGATGACTGAGAACCTTCACCAGCGTAAGAATATGAGAGTCAATCCTCTGATGGCCTTTAAAAAGCATACATACACCAGATGGGATGGCTCCAAAGACCTTTGCATAGTCTCCAGGACAGCTGCTCTGTTCATGACAAAAACCAACACAGACATGTTTCTATTTTTAGTATTCTACATCACCTTACAACCTAGCTGTTGTTTTTTTTTAATACAATTTTCTTTCATTTATTCTTTTCAATTTATATGCTTTCTTTTATGATTGTCTACTCTTGTCTCTATTGTCATCATTCTTTGTTAAAATCAGGTCTCTCTTGTAGATGAGTCCCCGAGGCTCAGTGGGATTAACCTGTATAAATAAAGGTTGAATGAATGAATAAAACAAAGAAGGTATTTATGATTTTTAATTGAACAAGTACTTTATTGAATAGCAAAGTAACACCTAATAAAATACCAAATAGTACCAAAATGTTTAAACAAAAGTCTAATTTCTATATTAAGATAACTCACTCGTCTTTTCCTCCCGTGCTTTTATTTTGTTCGCGCATGCGCATAGAGCGTCGCTCTGCAACTGTTACTTCCTAGGTGAAAGGTCATACGGAAAGGGCTACTTGTTTTGTTTTTTTAAATCCTCGAGATACGGGACTGATTATTTTTTTAATAAATATGTCATCTGATAAATTAATTGGACCCGCTTTACCCCCGACGTTCGGAAAGGAGAGCTCTGAAAGCGACGAAAGTGACGAAGATTGTAAGAAAACGGTGTTTCAGCTAATAACATAGACATAATACGTATTAATGTCTATGCTAATAACTGCTAAACTTCACACAATTCTAGCAGAGTTTGTTTCGTTACATTTGGGTTAACTGGTTTTATTTTTAACCCAATAGTCGCTGGTCCTGCTTTACCTCCCGATTATAAGCGGGAAGAACCGTCGAGCTCCTCGGATGAAAGCGAGCCGGAGGTGGCGTCCAAACGAGCCAGGACTGGAGGAGCAGAGTGGGTTCACGGCGGTTCGAACTGGTAAATAGATTCAAGTAAACAGTCAAAACTTTAATATTCTTTCCCCAGCAGGGTGGACACAGGTGATGATGATGATGGTTTCTTTGGACCAGCCCTGCCACCAGGATTTAAAAAGCAGCAGAGTTCACCAAAAAGGTGAGCTGAAATGCCCTATAATTCCCAGCGAACGTAAAAATACACAATTTTGAGTTAGGTGAGAATAAGATAATGAAATTTAAGTTTGTTGTTTTCCCGCAGGCCACCTGTGCTGGGACCAGCTTTGCCCCCTGGGTTTTCCCAAGCACACAGCGATGATGAAGATGACGTTCTTCCAGGACCTGCGCTGCCCCCAGGGTACCAGGCAGAGCCCTCCAGTACTGAGGAGGAGGAGGAGGATGTGATTGGACCCATGCCAGCTAAAGGACCTGTTGAAGACTCTGTGGCTCTTGACTTTGAGCGCCGAGCACAAAGGATGAAAGAGAAACTGACAAAAGAGGTTAGTCCTCTATTTTTCTGGAAGTTTTTCTAACTGTACATTTTTTCCATTTAAAAACCTCCCGATTTAAAAAAAATAACAATTTTCTATTCTTTCTGTGAACAGGATGCTCCTGAGGTGGTGACTAGAGAAACGTGGATGACGGAGCTCCCACCAGAGCTGCAGCACATTGGCTTAGGAGCTCGAACTTTTAAGAAAAGGTCGGGTCCAGAGAAGAATGATCGCTCCGTGTGGACGGATACTCCAGCAGACAGAGAGCGAAAGGCCAGGGTACCTAAAAATAATACCTTGCCTCTTATCAAGCTACTTATTGCTTGTATCTGTATGTCATGTGTTTGTTCTTTACCTAAAGGAACGCCTTGAAGGCAAGAAGACTGGGGAGGCAAAGAAAGAGGAAGTCCCACAAGTTTCTCCGAGGGAGTTTGAAATGGCAGAGAAAGTGTCTAAATATAATGTAAATAGTTCTACCGTATTATGCTGAAATGTCTCTTAAGTATTCACATCAAAGTCAGAACTGACGTTTACTTTCTCTCTACATTTTCAGGAATCTAAACGAGCTGAGTCCCTGATCAGCATGCACACAAAGAAGATGAAGGAAAAAGCAAAGGAGAAAGCTGACGAACCGGTGGAGAGGCGGCCGTTTGATCGTGACGCAGACCTGCAGGTGAATCGATTTGATGAGGCCCAGAAACAGCGGCTGTTGAAGAAGTCTCAGGAACTGAACACACGGTTCTCCCACAGCAAGGACCGAATGTTCCTGTAACCTTTGGCCTAAAGGGTTTCTATACTAAGAACTGTTTCTACAGATACATTTTTTTTTGTCTGGGACATAAACAAGGCTGGACTAAAGTACATGAAAAAAAAGATTTATTTCTTGTAGTTCTATACAAGAGATGAGGTTTTTTTGTTGTTGTTGTTTTTTTAAGATTGAACTATGTAAATTAGATTAATGGCTTAACAACTGCTATATTTAGTGTCCTTTTATAATAATTTTGCCACATTAGAGTTGTTTCTCTTTTTGCTCTACCTAACTGTTTTATATTACAGGATGAAAGTCATATTTTGATGCAACAAAGTGCTGTGAGTGGCAGGTCCTGTTTGTTTTAGTCATAATAAGAAATTACAAGCTATGTGTAATCTCTAATTATGAATATTTGGCGTTAGGTCAGGGCTAATTTGGTAAATTCTGCACAACATAATATATTTTTTTGTGTAAAGCATTTTGGAAAAACACGCCATCAAAGTTAAACCTGACCTGTTTTGTTTTTAGCACAATTATATTTAAATTTCTGTGTCAAAATAAACAACTGCAGCTACATGACATTGCCTAAACCTGTCTATCGTTTAATAAATAGGGTGCCAAAACTTTTTTGTTATGGTATTTTGTGAACTGTGTATAAATTACTTCACTACTTGTTTAATTATTTGTGCAGATTGCTGTAAAAAATAACCCAAATGTGCATTCTCCATTAATACAGGCAATTTTGCATGTTTCTAGTAAAGTTTTTTTTTTGCCTTTGGATTTAGTATTTTTAAGCTATTTTAAAATATTATTGTTATTTCTGTAGACATTAGAGATAAAAGCACGCACTGTAAAAAACAACAACATCGATAAATAGAATCATCGTAGCAGATTAATAAACGTCTGAAATAGAAATTCAGTAGGCAACGTGAACACAAAACTCGTGAGCCACCGTACTTTCTGTGCGCAGGAGTTAGGTAAACAGGATTTTAAAACCAGAAGAAAAGAGGTGGGTTTCCCTAGTGATCATTTGGTATGATAAAAAAAAAGTCTAAAGAAACGTAATAGTTATTTATTTATTTTTAATCGATGCATAAAATATGTTAATCCCGTGACGAATGCGAAAAACAGTTTGAGCCAAGAGGCTCGTCGTACTTTTTGCGCACGCGTATTGCAGCAGTTGAATCGATGAAAGGTTAGCGTTTGAAAACATGTCGGAGAAGGGAGAGATGGATTTAACTGGTGCCAAGCAGAACACAGGTGTGTGGCTTGTCAAGGTACGTTTATGCCAAGTTTTACTTTATATTTTAATTGAGTTGTAGTTTTGGTGATTTGTTTAAACATAGCCGAAGGCTAAGTGGTTGCTAGCTTAGCATATGTGCGAATCAGCCATTCGAACTACTGTACTAACTGTAACTGAGACCGCGGGAGTGTAACACCGTAAGTAAATGATCATATAAAAATAACTGACAAAAACATCATAGTACGATTATAAAGTTTGGTTTAGACCTTTGGCTTTGTGTGCTTTTAACAGTTTATTGAGGCAGAGTAGCAACATTTAGGGCTAACTGCTACAAAATAACGTTTAAAAAACGTAGATCAAAACATAATATTTCAGTTCAATATAAATCAAGTACAGTTACATATAAGAAATGTATTTATTTAATGCGAACATGTGCGAACTTAAATTCATGCTTGTATTTTGATAGCTATGGTAGAAATGTGTTTGCATAAACATGCATTTTTATTGACTTATTTGTTATTTTGATTATTATTATTATTATTTTGTACAGTTAATATCATTAAGACTGGACATTTTCTTTAGGGAAATTTGTTTCTAACAACAGTTTAGTTACAACATATTTAATTCACAGTTCAGATAACATGAAGTGTCAAAAACAGAACAAAATACTAAAACTAAAATAATTTTTCTCTCTACTTGCTTAAAGTTCATATTGACCAAGATATAATGTAGTCGTTTGGTCAGATTTTAATACGTATTTATTTGAGTATATATTAATAGAGCTTTAACTATTTGTTTTTTCATATATGAACTGGTAAGGAGTTGAATAATCAGTGACAACTATTATAAATTATGTAAACATTCAATACAAAAACACTTTACATTCTTGCTGATTAAATACAGATTTATTTATTTTTACTATATATTACATAGATTTAACTCCCCTTGTACATTTATACCCAACAAAACATCATAAATAACTTCTCTGCTGAGATTTTGATTAAAAGCAAATGTGTGATTCATCGATTTGAGATATTATCTTTTATAAAACAGTTTTGCTTTTACTTACAGGTGCCAAAATACCTCTCTCAACAATGGGCGAAAGCAGCTGGCAGAGGCGAGGTCGGGAAACTCCGAATCTGCAAGTATGTGAATTAAACATGTCTGCAAAGTAGCAGAAACCTATATTTACAACAACTATAGTATTATTTGGATGAAAGTATTCAAATGTTGCATATATTGTTGCAATAATGGACATTACTAAAACATTTCAAATGATTAAAAAAAAAAACTGCTTTACTTGCCATATTAGTAAAATTCATTTTTTTTGTTTTTATCTTTTAAAGAAAAGGAAACCAAGGAAAACCAGAGGTAAGAAACTGCAGATTGTTAAAGCCAAACTCTTACTCAGCATTTTCTGTTTGACAATCAAGTATAAAAATGGATAAACTCAAAAATCCTAATGTTTTAATGAGTATAAATTATATTTTCATGTTTGATTTTGCTCTATAGTAAGAGTAGCTGACAGAACATACAGGGGAATACATTTGATAACAGACCTATTAGAGTCAACATAAGATCCTTTTTGTTGCTGTGGATGCAGTGTACGCCGCAGTACACAGTCAATACTGTAATCATGAACTAATCCATAATAAATACTAATTTCAAGTCAAACCAAATTACATCTTTGATTGAACTTCAAGGTAAATAATAGAACAAGAGTACTAAGTGCATTTTATTTTTGTTGTTCAAAAATAAAATGCACTTCACCGTTCTTTCTCCAGGTTTCTTTCACTTTAAATGAAGAGCTAACTGTGATCGAAGGTTTAGAAGATAAGGCTGTGTCGGCTCCCCGCGATCATCCCTTTACCATGCAGTCTGTGGGGGGTCAGATGTTGGCGGTCTTCACAGAAGCTTCATCTGGTAAGTTTTCTATACCCAGCTGGAGGATCATGTCGGCGGCATCGTGAGACTTTTGTTAATGTTCGCTGAATACTCTCACTTTGGTCCGTAGCTTCTGTGTGATGAGATGCTGGAAGAACCTGTTCTGCATTCTGTGCAGCTTGCTTTATTCCTGTTCAGTATTTCTATTGTCATCATCGTCGTGCGTGTAAATACACTTTTCATTCAGTCTGAATATGTCCTGACGTAGCACCCCAGTTCTGAAAAAGTTGGGACTTGGCGTAAAATGTAAATATAAACCAAATGCAAAGATTTACAAATCTCCATCCATCCATTATCTTTACCCGCTTCTTCCATTTTGGGTCACGGGGATTGCCGGTGCCCATGTCCAGCAATCACTGTGCAAGGGGCGGGGTACACCCTGGACAGGAAGTCCATCACAGGGACACATAGAGACAAACAAGACAAACAACCATTCACTCTCTCACTCACACCTAGCGACAATTTAGTTACCAATCAGCCTAACTTATGTTTTTGGTCTGTGTGAGGAAACCGGAGTACCCAGAGAAAACCCTCGCACGGAGAGAACATGTAAACTCCACCCAGAAAGGCACCCGGACCGGGATTTGAACTGGGGACCTGCTCTACCAACTGAGCCACCATGCCACCCTATATGGGAACATAGTAAACAAAAACAATGTTTAACTACCATTTTAAAGAAAAACTGTTATATTTTGATGGCAACAAATCTCAAAAAGTTGTTCCAGCTCCATGTTTCCCTTTATGAAGCATCTCCAGGACCCGAAGAGACCAGTTGTCCCATCCTGGTCTGATGGAGGATTCTAGCTATTCAACAGTCCTGGATCTTCTTTGCTGCATTTGTTTCATGACCTTGTTCTAAAACCTGTAGATATATCTCTATACTGATGGAGTCTTTCCAGATGTGTAAGCTGCCCATTCTAGTGGCGCTACAAACAGAGGCAGGCCTTTGAACTGTGTGCTGATGCCAAGCTGGATGGTCCAAGCATGGAGGTCCAAGGTTTCAAAACAGAATTTCACATTTGGATCCATCTGACCAAAGAACAGTTCTGGACTTCACCTCGGTCCATTTGAAATGAACTCAGGTCCAGAGAAGACGGCAGTGGCTCTGGATGATGTTCACATGTGGCTTATTCTTTGCCTGTTAGAGCTTTAAGGAGCATTTGTGGATGGACTATAATCTGTTGATAATTGATTTTCTTTTTCCCCCTCATGGCTTCTCCCCTCCCATGCTAGCTCGCACAAAGACTTGGCAACTGTTTTACACCAAATGCCCTTGAACTAATGCAACCACTAACCTTCGAGCTACTGCAACCCACATCAAGTAAGGCGGTAGTAGGCGTAGTAGTAGGATACACTGCAAGTAAGGCGTATCTGGACGGTCAAATCTGATTGGACAATAAAAAAACAAGGTGTTACTGGAACAATAACAAAAAAAATCCGGTTTGGTTGTTGAATAATGTGAAAATAGTTAAAATCAATTCATAAATACAAAAATAAATAAATTAATAACGTAACCAGAACAGTAATAATAATTAAACTGGCTTTGGGACAAAGGATGTTGCTTTTAACTTCACATTTTCTTGTTCAACCTTTTAAAGCCGTCACTGCAGATGAGTGATCGTCAGTTTCTGTAAGATTTCTGGAGCAGGTATTTCTGCTTACTGGTTAACTTCCTCAGCTGTCTCTGATTTTAAGGGTCAATGTTTCAGCTCAGCTCCTTTCATAGATCTGGTCTCATAGAAGAGCACTTCTAAGCAGTACATTTTGTTTTTAGCTTTTGTTTTGGGCTGTTCTCTCACAGGACTCATGATCTTTAATTGAGACCAGACTTTTTGACAAAGGGGAGCAGGTTTTGATTCAGATGCTTCATATTTCATTTTACCCAGACCACACTCAAGCCAACCTATGTCAGGTGCAGCCTACAAACCAAGAACAAAATAAATCTTGTTGTGTTTGACAGCAGATACAACACTGTTTCTTAGAAACCTTCTGTTTTAAAAAAAGAACTGACATAACTTGCCTAAAGAGCCAGAAAATACAGCTAGCCAATCAGTGTTTGTCCTCTACAAACACCTATGGTCCAGAAACGCCCATTTTTGGTCTGCAGAGAACCTCTTCTCACCCACATGATGGAGCAGGGGGCTGCCTTCTAGGGTGCCTGGGGGAAGAGATGGGGCTTAAGGGCCTTGAGGGTGGGGGCAGATTTGAACACACCCACATTTTTTGATGTAACGGTCAGGATTCAAACTGCAATCTTCCAATCACTAGCTCGACTTCTCTAAGCTCTGCGCCACCACTCCCGTTAATCTATCAAAAATTAAATATGGGCTTAAACAATTTTAAAATCATTGCATTTTGGTTTTATTAACGTTTTATACAACATTCCATCTTTTTGGGGGATTGTACATAACAAATGTTCTGTACCTTGTGGACAAGTCAATGTATAGTTTGTCCTTTTTCTCTCTGATTGTCTTCCAGTTTTTTGTTGTTGGTTTACTTTTGAATTCTAATCATTGTTGACTGAGTGTATTTTCTGTCATGTTGAGGAATAACGGCGTGGATGAGTCAACACAAATCACTGCTGAATTTGGAGTCGATTTATTTCTGCATGGTTTCTTTGGTTTGGATTTCATTTTCTTTGTCCTCAGAATGTTGATGTTTGGTTTTATTTGCTTCTGGTGCTGGTGGACTTGTGCTGCGGTGCTTACCAGTACTTTCAGATAGTGTCTCTGTGCTTTAGGGCTGCACAGTTAAAATCTTATACTTGTACTAAATATTTCTAGGAATAAATGAACAGGGAGCCGTTTTTTAGCTCCTTTATGTCATATGTGGTCAACAAAAACTATATTGCATTGGCTTTTTAAAAATCCAGTTAATTAATCATTTGTGCAGCCCAGTCGTGCATGTCTGTGTGGGTCTGGGGGATTCGTGCTCTTCCAGTTTGCTTTGCTCTTGTGCACGCTTGTGTGTGCCATGACGCTGTGTGATTTAACATCTCCGTCAGGGGCTAAACCCTGCGTGTGACTCTTCATCCCCGTGTGTTTTCACGTTTACCATCCATCCCTTCCTCCCTGTAGGCCAGTCAGAAGAAAGATCTGATGGCAGCAGCTCAGGTTCGGGGACGGGTCCAGGTGAGTCCTCCACTTTACGAGAAAGAGACAAAGTTGCGTCTTATTTCTGCCGGCAAACATTGTTTGTTGCACTACAAAAAAACAACAAAAAAACAAACATTAGCTCATTGGTAGATACGGTGCTGTACTTAAAACAGATTTAGTCTTTTGGTCTTATCTTTGTTGTGCACTTCATGTGGACTTCTCTGTGGAGGAACTGGGTTGAAACAGGTCTTGATCAGAACAGGACCTGCTCCTGGTGATGGTTGTAGAATTTCTTGGTAAAATTTCAGGAAAGACATCTGATCTGATCTTTTGCCATATGTGAACTGATTACGGTCTTTCACACCAGTAGGTCTCAACAGGTGAGGTGTGGTACTCACCTGTCTATCACCACCATCACTAACATAGGGGCACCACAGGGATGTGTACTCTCACCATATCTTTTTATTCTGTACACCAGTGAGCTACACTGTATGGACTACTCTGTAAAGCTTGTGAAATACACTGATGAAACCACTATCCTGGGCTTCATCACCAACAGTGAGGAGACATCCAACAGGAACTGTGTTCCAGAGCTGATCATGTGGTGTATAGACAATTACTTGGAGTTTAACACCAGCTACACAGCTAAGATGATCTTTGACATCTGGAAACCACATCCACACCCTCCCCTCATCATTAACAGCACTGTTGTAAATGAGGTTGACTCTGTTGTATCCCTGGGCATCTCCATCACCAAGGACCTGAAATAGGTAGAATTCTCCAGCAAGGTGGTTAAGAATTCTTGCAGAGGGATGTTTGGATTTCAAGGTGCTTCAAAAGCTAAACATCACTTATGTGCATGCCCAGTTCTTCAGAGCCACCCACCACCATTCCTGACCACCTTCATTTCAGAGTTTTTCTCTGGCTCCACTGTCCACAATAAACATCAGCTTTATTGTACCATCATGCTGAGCAGTAAACTGACTGGAAAACACCAGCAGCTGCTGAAGGATCTGCACAGTGCCCGAGTCACGAGGCGGACAGGACCCAAGTCACCCAGAACATCTTTTTTTTAACTGCCCTCTAGCCAGAAGATAAGAAGATAGGTAAAGAGGTGAAGAAGAGAGTCCAGGCAGGATGGAGTGGATGGAGAAAAGTTTCAAGAGTAATGTGTGACAAGAGTGGTAGCAATGGTCAAAGGAAGAGTTACAAGACAGTTGTAAGACCAGCTATGTTGTATGGTCTGGAGACATGGACAAAAATACAGGAGACCGAACTGAAAGTGGCAGAAATGAAGATGTTGAGGTTCTTCTTAGGAGTGACAAGGATGGATAAGATTAGGAATGAGATCATCAGAGGTACAGCACAGGTTGAACAACTGGGAACAGTTAGAGAGGCCAGACTGAGATGGTTTGGACATGTCCAGAGGAGGGACAGTGGTTTGGACATGTCCAG